TAATTATTAAATACGATGTGGGCAGTAAGGTCTGGGCCCAAGCTAAAAGTACATTTACATGCAAACAGCATTACAAAAGTCACATACATAATATATATACATACATAATATTTTGTGTTCTTTGCTCAGACAAGTGTTTTTCACTTTAAATTTTGAATTATTTTGAATTAAAAATGGGTGAAAATTATTTTGAAAAAAATATAATGTAGTAAGAGGGACTGTGGTGCAGAATCTCAGCTATTTGGACCTCCAGTAAAATCTGAACATCAGCTTTATTTAACTTTTGTGCGAAAATCTGATTTATTTTATCACAGTTGATTAAAAAACAAAAAATACAAGTCTTGTTAGTAGCACATGTGTACATTGCCTACAATGTCAGTTTATGGCAAATAAGATGATTTTCTTTTAATGGTAGCATTTTGGATTTTTACATTGATTCTTAGTAACTGGATTAAACATTTTAAGCTACTGTTCTTCTGCAGGGGTGGTCCTTACGCTGGCGATCCCAGCGGTGAGCTCAGGAACTGGGGCAGGGACGGTGAAATCTCCACTGGCGCCGATGGGCTCAGCTCATGGACACACGGGCCACGTTCGGTTCCTGACCTCAATTGAACTTCCGGAAGGGTTTGACATGAACTTCCCTCCTACAACTGATTCCACAGGTACATTTTAATTATATGTGCAGTCTTATCGGCTCCAGAACAAATGAACTGAATCAAAGTTTTGCCTTTTCTCTACCTTCAATCCCTCCTTTATGTTTTATAGGCAACCAATCCCAGAGTGGCAGCACAGTTGACGGGAACCTCCAAAGGCGTGACTCAGCACGTCGCCGAGCCTCTGCCCACATCCCTATAAAAACCAACCATCTAGTAATTTCCGGCGGCGATGGCTATGAGGACTTCAGACTGACCAATAGCAGTGAAACAGTCGGACGGGACGACAGTACCAACCATCTTTTGCTTTGGAGGGTCTGAGACAATCAACCTCAGTTTGAACTTCCTGCCCCAGCCTCCCACAAGCTGAGAAACGGCGCACAAGCTCCTGTCCTTTTCCCCCACCAGACTCCTCACTTTTTGGTGTTGTTGTTTTGGTCTTCTGCTCAGTCCACCAGTCTCTATGTGCATAATATGGCTGTCACCTCCCTCCCGGACTTACTAATGAATATGATCACTTCAAACCCAGTTTTCTTGTGTTAATGTTACTGATGGTGTGCGTTGTTCCCACTGGGTGGTGTCTGTGCATGTGTATTGTCTAGAAAAGTGTCTTTAAACTCAAGTCTTTACTGAAGGAGTCGGAGAAGGGAAAAAAGTAACTTTCACACGTGGATGTTTAGACTGCAACAAGTGAAGAAAAGAAAGACAGAAGAGGACTTGGACTCTGTAGAATGTCTTTGCACAGGAGGTTGAAAGAGGACATTTAAGTGAACTGAGACATAAGTGGAGCATGTAGTTGTCCTTTGACATTTTCTGTTTTCTTGGACTTGGACATCAACCCTTTACTCCATCATCACTTCATCTTAGCCTGAACTACAGACAAAATGCCTCCTGATGATCAGAGGTAAATGTCATGTAAAAATATATGAATATCTATGGGTGGAAGCATACCATCACAGGCTTTAGTTTAATGGATACTCTAAATTTGCTTTGATTTCTGCGGCTAGCTTAGCAGAGAGGATCAGCTGGTGTCCGTAGACTGAGACTGCTAAAATCATCTTTTCTCTTGTAGAGAGAGAGAGAGAGAATAAGAGCATCATTTAAGTGCAATATGTGGCAAGGGTATCTAACAAGACTATAAACACATGCACACAGTCACACACATTAATGCACAGCCTTCACTCACTGAATCTGAAGACATTTGTGAAAAACATAACCGTGTGTTTTCCACAGATAATCACATTATATCTGATTGTCTTATTTAATTTTGTATGCCAGTTTAAGATGATATGAACGTAGATGATGCCCACTGTTGGAGTTGAATAGAAGAAAAGTGCATTGGAGACATTCCTCCTTCACATGACTATGCCAAAGCCTTGTATGTATTAGAATTTTTGACATTAATTTCTTTTGCCATGAAACTTCTCTTTGTTGAGCGGAAATCAGGAGCTGATGTTTTTTCTATTGATTTCTATAGCAGACTCTTTGAAGATGACGCTAGGCTGTGGTTGCAGATAACAATAGTTATGTACAGTATTTATGGTTTTGATTTTTAGCGCCTTCTTTTACAGCACTTAATTTATAGAATATGTAGCTTTTTTCTTTTTGAGTTGAAGAACAAGGAGGACCCAGCTTGATTACCAGAATAGATAAATGGGCATAATTGGGTTAGGGGTGTAACGGTACAGTCCCCTCATAGTTCGGCACGATACACACTACAGGGTTCTTGTTTTGGAGTTGTATGGCTCCATAAATGGCTCTATATGGCTCTGGAAATATATTTTGTCTCTACTCATCTATTGGCTGTTTCAAAACGATCCATCAATCCCAAAATTCATGTCACTCTGTATCCAAACTCAGACACTCTGTCGCCTGTGTGGGTGCCAAATGCTCAGATTTGCTTAATTTTTCAATACTTTTTCAGCTCTGTGGTGCATATTATGGCATTTTTGTTCCAGGGAATATAGCGCTAAGATGTATTGTTACACCCCGAATGCATAAACACAGATTTCAGTATTGATAGTTGGAGAACAAGATGCATGTGGTTTGTGAGACGAGTGCTCAAGATACGGAGTAGGTCAGAAGGACAAACGCTGAGCGCCTGCACGTGCCTTCTGAAGGCTAAAAGTTAAGCCATTAAACACACATACACACAGTGAAAAGTCAGCTCTCTCTCATCCTGCAGCAGATGTCTGGGGAAGTGAAGGGTGACTCCGACTTGTCCTTGTACATACACGTTAGCCTCAGGCTTTGGGGTTAAGCAGTGATTGTCTTTTATCCCTCCGAGCCTAGAAAACCTCATTGCACTTTGCCAGCCATCTGGGCACTTCACCTCAGATTTCCCACTTCCCAAATGCATCCACATTAGGTTAACTCTCCCGCTGTGAGAGCTGCTAATAGTTAAGAGGATTGGTTGGTTGTTGTGATAGCTGCTAACTAGCTAGTAGGCTCAAGTGTATAAAGTATAAAGTATACAAAGGAGCTTGTTTGTGATTTTCTGCCTAGTTTAGCTCGTGGTATCTTGTGAAGAACACAGAGGTCAGTTTGAGGGTTTTAGCAAACATTACAGGACTAAGTGACATTGTTGGAAATATTAAACTCAGTTTCTTGTCAAGAGTTCGGTGCCACTCTCATGTCAGTATGTTTAATACAACCAGTTAGCTTAGCTGAGCATAAAGAATGGAAACAGGGGCGAAGAGCGAGTCTGGCTCTGTCCAAGGACCAAAACTGAAACTGTCTAGATGCTCTAAAGCTCGCTAATTAACACATTATATTTTGTTTCTTTGTTTCAAATGAGATATAATGTGTTCATTTGTGAGCTAAGTTACCTTGCTAGCTGTTTCCACTGTTTCTTAATGCTAAGCTAAGCTAACCCATCACTGGCTGTAGCTTCATATCTAATGAACAGGCATGAAAGTGGTTTTTAACTCTAAAAGTCAGTAAGATTATTTCACAAAATGTTCAGTTATTCCTTTAATGTCCTCTAATGTTAAGGTAGCAGATAGTGTTTTTTTTTTTTATGTTCTGTGTGATTCACAACAAAATTAATATTTGTGTTCTCAGTGCCAAGAGCTGCCAAGTTACCGGTACCCAAGTAAATGCTGTATATCTATGCTGGCTGTAGAGTAATGGAGAACTCCCTGCAGAGCAGAGTTAGTATATTTTCTGTGAACAGTGAGAAAAGAGCTACAAACACTCTCCAAAAGAGCTGGTATCAGCGCGTCTAAAAGGGTTACAGTCCTTCAATGATGGGTCCTAAGTTCACTGAGTTTTGGGCTTTAAACAGTTCATGATTCTGAAACCGATACCAAGAAGAAGAACCAAGAACTTTAAATTGAGCTCATTCAGAAAGTTTGTAGATTTTCTTGAAAAATCTGAAAAGAAACATTTGCCTTAAGAACATACAGTACTGAAATCCAGAAGTTGCATTTTAGGTTTGAACCCAGTGACTCTCTTCATTTTACAGACATACAAGCATGCACACGCCAACACATCCTAGAAATGAAGTAAAACTAAAGGTTTTGAGAGAATAAAGCATGTTGCCAGCTAAAGAAATGGAAGATTTAAACGTAATGTTTTTCACCGTCACATCAAACTCATTCAATCATTACTGTAACTCTCAGAAACTTGTAAGTATAACCTCCTCATGCCCGTATGTGAAAGAAGTCTTTATTGTTGTAAATATTGGTATATATTGCCTTTTTTCTGTAAATAGTGCACCCACGGTCATCAATTGTTGATATGAATCTAATGGCATATTTTTATATATTTGTGTAAGGTTTGTTTTTTGTTTATATTCTTCTCCCTTCCTCCCTGGCATGCGTGGTCAGTGACGTTTAAATTATAACTGCCATATATCTTTCCAGAAGAAGACAAGATGGCCTCTGTTGTTACCAGAGCGACTCAAAGATGAGAGTTTTGATGTTCTCACTGGTAGCCGTGTTAGCTCCACAACGTATGTTTTGCCCCGTTACGGACGTCGACGGGAAGGTAACACAATGTGGCAGGTCTTGCGCTGCCGCCTGGTCATAACTCTGTTTATCTCTGGCTCTGGTTGGCATCTCGCTGTTGTCATGGTTACAGTCTATCAGTTACTTCCTGTATGTAGCTGTTCTTGTTTTTGTCACTGTGGGTTCCTCTTTGTAATTAAATCAGTTCACTGGTGCCAGTTTGTGCCTCTTCTTTCTTCAGCGAATGTAAAGTTTATGATGTTTGCATGTATATTTGTGTCCCCTTTTTTTGTGATTAACTTTATTGAATTTGTCACAGGAAATCTGTTTGTACACAAACTACAGACAGCATTTAACACAAACTATATACAAATCACCAAAAAAAAAAAAAACAACAAACAAACATGAAAAGAGGGGTGCATTAGATAATGTGTGTAGGTCTTACTATCCAAGTAACACATTAGTGTATCTGTGTGAGGAAGTGACCCATGAGCATATCCCAGCCTTCTACAATGAATGCTTTATGAATTACAGCTAATGGTGTTTGTATGAGAGCAATATAAACTGATTTTTATTGATGGGGGGTCAGGGGAGAACCATAAGTGTGCAAGGTGAAGTCCTCCTCCAACTTCTAAACTTCTTAAATGGTTGCATGTTGACAACTTTTGGGTTCTGGACTGTTGGTCGAACAAAAGAAGCAAACTGAAGGTAATTTCGACTGGTATTTTTCACTATTTTCTGAACAGCCGATTAATCAATAATGCAAATAACACTTTTGCCAGCGCTTAACTAAACTGGTGTCACTGCTGGTAGTAGTGGCAAGTGAGACACACCTCCCTGTACTTACATAATCTTTAACATCAAGTGGAAAAAAACCTCCCAACCTTGAGTTGCAGATCCATCTAATATAGACCTTTTCTTCATTAACATTTTTACTTCCAAGTGTCCAAGGATTTATAGCTTGAATTAACTTGCCCTGTCTTTTACAGTAACAATAAATAAATAGATAGTAAATAAATAGCAATAAAATCGACTCATGTGTTACAGTATGAGGCCCTGCTGACCTCCTGCAGACAGCGTCACTGACCACAACACAAAGTGACCACTGTGGTTTCTTACCAGCATGCTTCAGTGTCCACTCCACTATTCATCTGACTTTAACCCACTGACCTACAATGAAGTGTATTGTGATATGATAGCCCTGCAGTATATAGAGGAAACAGTATGAATGCAGACCATTCAGGGGACACACAAATACAAATGTTGCCCCTCTCCCCCCCTCATTATCACACACAAGTCGTAGCCCGCTTACATCCACACACAGTATTCAAATGAAGCCTTAAACAGTGAAGATCTGTGCAATGAATGGAAGAGGGAGTAAAGAGAGCAGCACAGAGATGCATCTATGACTGACAAGAATGAGTGATATTGTGAGTCATTGACTAACACTGACTCACTGGTTCATCCCAGCGGAAGAACGTGGGCCAGTGGAAATCTCCTTCATTCACTGGTATCAGATTTGCAATATTAAGCGTGTGTATTTGGCAAAACTGTAATTTCCTTTTTTATCTTGCATTGTAGTGTAAGCGTCAAAACCGTGATCAGTGGCTCAACCTCTAGTTTTTCTTTCCCCAGGCTGCTTCGAAGGTCCCCGATTATAAGATTTTCCTCAAAATAGTGTAAATGTGCAGTGAAAGTTGAGCTAATCTTACCTGAATTGCTGGTCCAGTGTGTAGGATTTAGTGGCATCTAGCGGTGCAACTTTCTTGCTTCACCCTCCCCTTCCAAGCGTAAAGGAGATACTACAGTGGCTATGAAACACATGGTTGGTTTGTCCCTTCTGGGCTACTGTAGAATAAAGGCGGTTCAACAATAGCAGACTCCATGGAACGTGACCCGTGGCTTCTGTAGATAAAAATGTCTCACTCTAAGGCAACAAAAACACAACAGTTCTTATATTCAAGTGATTATACACTAATGAAAACACACCTATGAATGATATGTTCAATAGATCCTCCTTAATGTTACACACTGGACCTGTAAAGAAGCTGGTTTTTCAACTTCTAATGTACACACTACACTCAACTTCAGTTAAAGGTGGGGCGAGTGATTCTTGGTAATGTATTTCTAATCCAATATCTTTCAGCTTTCTGCTGTGTGTGTGCTCTGAAAAAGAATCCAGTGGCCAGGCTGGTTCTGTAAATGGGAAACCAATAAGGTGAATCAGACTGAGCCACACAACACCGTCTCGTGTGATGTTAGCTATAGTGGCAGGCTGGATGTGAGCGGTCTGCGGCTGGCGTGCTGGTTCTGGGAAACTGTCTTGTCCGCTCTGCATGTTAGCTTCAACTTTAGCCACAGTTTGCAAACCCACAACATGACTTGCTGTGTCTTTGTTCTCAATCTTCTCACTCCAGAAGTGGTTTTAACCACCTTCAACTATTTTATTACTTTAAATTGAACTACATGTATTAAAAGAACATCACAGACAACATTTCAAAACAATATCATTGAAAAAAAATGTAATAATATGATATAGGGTGTTTTTTTTATTTGTTTATTCAAATCAACTTATGGTCCAGTGTGTGACATTTAAGAGGGTCTACTGGCAGAAACTGAATATAATATTAATTGATATGTTTTAATTAGTGTATAATACTCTGAATATAGGACTCAATGTGTTTTTGTTACCTTAGAATGAGATTTGTTTTACCTACAGAGGGAGTAGGTCCTTTTCTACAGTCCACATGTTGAACTGCCTACGGTAGCCCAGAATGAACAAACCAAACATTGGCTGTAGAAAGCAACTACACCACTAGATGCCACTAAATCCTACACACTGATTCTTTAAGCAGGTTGACAAATATTCTTTCAATGGTAAGATATTTTCCCGCATTATTTACAACCAAATACCTGACTTGACCAAGCATGGGTAACTCCACATATTATCATTTTAATTAAAGACACATGGGACGGAAACCTGGTATGGGAGCATGTGGGGTCAATATAGACGATATAGACAAAGTTCACAGGACTGAAGTTGTATAAAATAATGCAAGAGGTTAAAACAATTCTCTCCTGAACATTGTTTAGAGTTGTTAAAAAGCAATTATTACAGTTTCAGTGCACAACGATAGACTTTTATCTTTTATCATGGAGGACAAATAAATGATGACTGAATTCCATTTAGCTGCTTCAGTCTCAGGGTCCTGGTGTTGTTCACGCTGGCTCACTGTCACTGTCATGACTTGCTGGTGCACTTGAATATAACACATTACATAACACCTGTGCTTTTCCTACTGTGACAAGGTACAATGTCTGCTGTGAAACAGGTGCAGCAGTGCAGGTTTGGGTGCACAATAACAAGTGTTGAGGGAGTTGACATTTGATAAACCTCACTTTGAATTCAATAAAGTTGATAAGGTCAAACACATTTTTTTGTTTAGGGGAAGGAAACGTTTTATCATTAGTCGGTTAAAAAAGTATTTGAAGATTTTGGAAGTACCTTCAAAACAGTTTTATCAAACATTTGTGTTTTTGGACAGAATAATTAAGCTGATTTTTCATTATAATTTTATAATTGTTATTATTATTATTATTATTATTATACTTTTGTTCTCCATATATTCTATAGTCTTTACTGAGACCTACAGCACATTACGAGCTTCAACGGCCAGGTTGTGATCCGCAGCACCTGCTGGGGAAAGACACCGACCGACAGAGGGGGTTTACGCACACACACACACACACACACACACACACACTGACGGGAGTTTCAGCTTGCAGCGGTGACGCACTGTGAGCTCACTGAGCCAGCTAGTGTTTATGTCTTTTTTTTTCACACACACACACACAGAGAGGAGCCAGAGAGGGGGAACCTCGTTTACCGGCTTTGTGGTTTTCATCCCTTCTCAAGTTTTAATTACACCTACTAACTGAGTCCACACAACTGATGATGCTCGTCTCTGGACACTGATTTCAGCTCCATTTATTCACCAAACCGGTAAGACCGACAACTTTTTTTTGTAACAGTGTAGTGACAGTCTGAATGGCTGTTGAAGCCGGTAGTTTAGTCTCGTCAGTCATTGCCGGCTAGTGTGGGGCTTTTCTCGCCACAAAACCTGTCCGACCGTCATGACCACTTTTACGCACGGCGGTGATGCGTTTTAATGACTTTGTCTGCCCTGTGGGGCTTCATATGGCACATATATATGCACTTAAATAATCTTGGAAAAAAAAACTGATGTTTGTTTCAGTGGAGTTTATGGCTATGGTTTAAGTAAATATTTAAAAATGAACAAATGGAGGAAATTGTCTGCGCCGGAGCAAGCTTTTGTGACTGTTCATCGTATGTATCTGTTGTAGTATAGACGTAGAGTTCTGCTGTGATGTTCGTAAAGTGATTTAAAGTTTGTATGGATACTTTGCAAACCCCTGTTTTCTAGTACTGAGTAGATTGTTCTGGATATTCTACTATAGGCAACTAAATACCTTTAATTCGGCTAATTTGATAAGCTTATAATGACAATGGGATCCACAGTGTGCCGTGCTGTCTAATGACAGAGTGAGGGCATGCTTGACGCACTGTCATGGGTACGTGATGACATCACTGGTAGTATGATCAGGCTACTGTCTTTTTAATGAAGTGAAGTTCTGGCTCTGCTTTATTTCCATATATCTGTGTAATATTTTATGATATGGGTGAGACACATCGAGGTCAGTTCAAGCCAATTAAATTCTGTATAACAAGAATCATAGAGCAAAGAAGAATGTTGTGTAGAGATTAACAGAGAGAAAAACCTGTAAAAATGTCAAAGTATTAGAGTTAATATTAACATGTGGCTCTCACACATTTTTCTAAGTTCCACTCATTGTTTGCTCATCTGAAGTTATGTCTTATCACCCTCACATATCACACCCCTGCTGTGGTTTCAGCAGGACACACAGCTGCGTAGGAGCCCACCACACTGTGCAACGAGGACAGGCACACTACACACACACACTTGCACAAGAGCCAAGATGAGACTGTCATTTTTGGCCGAGGGCATCTATTGTCTGAGGCCAAATTCCTGCTCGCTTGTATCAATAAGAGGCTTTCTCTCACACACAACTATATGCACACATGCACACACACTTCCACCAGAAGGGGGCCACGTGCAGCTTCACTGGCTCAACCCTAATATTCAGGCATTTTAAGTAAGGATTTCACAGTTTATTCATCAGTACCATCATGTCAAGACACAGGCGAAAAAAATTTCAATGTACGTCTCATGAAGAATTAAAAATATTTGATGTCGCCTCTTTTACGAGAGGACATGCATCCTGTTTCCTGTCAAATACTTTCACCCCCTCTTGTGGGAGGGAAAAAGAGCATGTATGTGTGTCTAGATATGTACAGTGTGATTTGTAAAGGTGGGGATGTTAAACTCTGTCTATCCCAGTGCCTTTCTTGGTGTGGCCAAAGCACATTTGATCACATTACATCTCTTTCTCTCCAAGTCTTCACACACTCACTTAAAAACTTCCAGTGAACCCTTTTGCTTTAACATGGCTGCCATCTGTTGGACCAGATTTCAGCCAGAAAGGAAGAAGATTATAGTTTATTTTCTTCAAACAACACTAAAACAGCACTGTAGTATCATTATAGTCACAAAAGTATATTGGTCTTACTTGAAAATAACTACATAGGTCGGTTTGCATGATTGCACAGACTTGTGAGAGGACAGTAACGTGTTAGACGTCTTCAATAGATTACAGTTTGACTGTTGCGAGAGTTTTTTGTGTAACAGCTGAGGGATTTCCTGCAATAACCTGCTACAAGATGTTTATTAACATATATTTTCTGCCTTTGATAGCAGCATATGATAGTAACGGAACAAGATATGATTTTCATTTGAAACACAGATTAATTAAAATTTCAAGGAGTGTGTTATGTAGTGCGCACACACACACACACACACACACACAAATGCCCTAATTAGGAGGTGGTGTGTGTAGCCGTGGATTTATCTTAAGCCAAATTTTACCCCCATTTTACGCTCTACCCCACCCTACATTTACTGTACTCTGACTGTATTCATCGGTTTGGGAAGTAGCAGAAATGACAGGATGAGAAAGGGAAGAGACTAAATAAATGAGAAGAGAGAGAGAGATGCACACAGACAGTAAGAGAGAGACAGAAAGGGATGGTGACAGGATGATCCAAGTGTCTGTGCTGCAGCTTGGAGCTGATAACAAACTTACATGAAGGGATTATCACTGTAACTTAACAGACAGATGCAACTTTATTTGAGCATATAAGTCAAGGACAGACACAGCTAGGCTTTAATTAGGCCATCAATCCTGTCATCTGTCTGTCCGTCCGTTCAACCAGAGTGGTTGGGCATGGCTCCAGACGGCCTTCCGTCCCCGTGCCTGCCTGCCTCCCCAATGTCAGCCACGAAACTCTGTGCCAAAGAAATTCCCACTGCACCGGCCGCAGATCCCGATCCAAGCTGGCTCAGCGCTCCGTACACACAGATTGGTGGAGGATTGGATAATTGCAGGGGGACCTGGACACAAAAACCCGGAAAGACGTTGGCACGAGCCTGCAAACACGCTCACCTACTGAAACTCATAGATACTTAACTGTATATTTATACATACATACGCATGCCAAGCTTAAATTATTGGATGGAGAGCAGCTTTTAAAATTCAAACCTGCATTGTCCTTCTGAGATCACAATATTAATCTGCTTATCTGCTGCACTCTCATGAATTTACAGTAAATGGCGAAAACGGTAACTCATGCTGCAGAGGGTTTCCGTCCGTTGAGTTCATGCTTTTGAAAGTCAGGATGTGGGAAAGAATCACTTCCTGGATGTGTCAGCTCTTTTGAACCTGAAGTTTACAGAGATCATTCATGTCGCTGTGTTATATCTTATCCCACGCTCTTATTTTCCTGTGAATTGTCTGGGACCAAACTACACTTAAAAAACAATGGATTGTATAATATGGATAATGTAACAATGTTCATCCTACACAGTGGCCAGTGTTTGGTTTGTCCCTTCTGGCCTACTGTAGAAACATTGCTGTTCAACATGGCAGACTTCATGGAAGGCGACCCCTGGTGTCTGTAGATAAAAACATCTAATTCTAAGGCAACAGAAACTGAACAATTCATATTTTTTAGGTAATTATACACTAATAAAAACATACCTATGAATATTATATTTCTTTTCTGCCAATAGATCCTCCTAACCGTTACACACTGCACCTTTAAGAGCAACATAAGTCAAATTCCTTGTATGTGTGGCAAGGGCAGTAAGGGGAGAATGGGGAAAGAACAAACAATGCCACCTGGGGAATTGCACCCCAGGAAATACTTTAACCTCTAACTCGTTACTGAGGTAAGACAGAGACATGTTTTCACAATAAACCAAATTGATTTATTGAAAGAATCAACACAAGAAAGAGCTGGAGCTGCTGAGAAAGAAAGATTATTAATAAGCAAAGATGATGAATTTCTAAAAGAAGGCCTAATACAATATCTAAAACCATTGCTTAATCATATTAATAAGTATGAAAAAACGATCAGTCCAACATAAATTAACTAAAACTAAGGAAAGCAAAACAAACTAGCAGTATTCAGCCACCTCTGGTATGGGGCGCTAACTCTCAGGATTGGTTCAACCGGTGAGGGAAGGAAACACTGGACCAGCTGAGCAAAACAAAAATAAAGAGCAGTCAACTAAATCTGCAGTAAAGAAAAGCTAACTCAATTGACTAAATGGAACTTTAACATACCTGGAGCATTAAACAACCAGAGAGACAGGATCGATGCCAAAAGGAGAGACAGCATCTTCTTCTTTGGTTTTCTGGCGGGCTATAAACCAACGTTAAAGGTGCATGCCGCCACCTACTGTACCAGAGTGCATAAAATCATGACTATATTGGAATTATATTCTGTATATTAGACCTGTTTCATTGAAGTATTTGAATTAATCCCTTTGAACCTGATTTTGTTGGCCTCCAGTATAGAGGTCTCTCCAACAGACTCCCTATACTCCACTCCTTTCCCACGTCCACCACCCTTTCCTTTCCATACCAAACCTTTTACAAGCCATCAGCACGTTTGACAGTCCTTTACAATTACATATTTCACACGGAATCTATCTTTTTTATTATGTATAATGCAGCGTTTAACCTTATATGTCCTAATCTTAAAGGAGTCATATTATAC